ACTATTTCTCCTTTTACCCATGTTGGACTTCCAACTGTAACTATATTATATCTTCTACAGTCTGTATTATGCTGGCAACTTTGGCTTAACACTATATATTCTACAGTCCGCAATATTCTCTCAAATTTGAGTTGATGTCGTATTTTCCACAGTTTACAATTATACTTCCTGCTCTAGCTTAACACTACATCCTCAATAAGCCAAGTTATACTCCAGCTCTGACTAAATATTATGTCTTCTACAGTCCACATTATACTCCCTGCCCTAACAACCTATGTTACACTTCCAGTTCTGACTTAATACTATATCTTCTGTAGTCCATATTTTACTTCCAGTTCTAACTTAAAATCATCTTCTACAAGCCATATTATACCTCCAAGTTCTTACTTAATGATATATATATATACATCATAGCAATGTCATACTTTCCGCCCTGGCTTAACAACACATTTCCTACATGCCACATTACACAATCAGCTCTGAATAGTGAACACTTTTCTTTTAGCTCATAATATACTGTGAAATTAACATTATCTAACTTTGTTTTAAATAAACAAACGATATTATACTTCTAAAACACAGTTTTGTTGTTGTAATTACCGGCAATGTATTGACAGATCTCAAACGTTATTATATTTTTGCGACTTTAATGCTGTGATAACGAATTTATTAAACTAAACATTTTTTGTTGCTCTTTAAAAGTTGTTAATTTAATAATTATATAAAATTGCTATGCAACATAGTTTTAGTTTGAACGGTATGTCTGCGAACTTACAACGCTAGAATCCGGGTTTCGATACCCGTGGTGGGCAGAGCACAGATAGCCCATTGTGTAGCTTTGTGCTTAATTACAAACAAACAAACAAAAACTCAGTTAGAGGGTGGAAATATTTAATTATTACAATTCACTATCATTAAGCAGATGACTAAAGAGGTTGCTAACTGAGTGAGATATTTTTAGTTTCTTGTTGTCACCTGAAATGTTACTTTGTACTTTTTCCATTAAATCATTAAATCGTGATTTATTAATTCCTGCCGTCAATTTTGTTATTTTCTTGAAACCTTGTGGACTTAGAGAATGTAAGAAGTGGAATCCCTCTGGTGTTGTTACACTACTAATGATAATGTGATATAAGGTTTCGTGAATAGGCCAATTCCCATAATTAAATTCCAAGTTAACTGGGATCGTAAAACAATAGATAGTTCACTTAAGGGATGAAAAGAAGTAATTGTTAATGTTCTCAACCCATGGATTGTCAGAATGAGTAAAAAGACGTTGAAAATAGATAATAGTCTATTGACTTATTTAGTAAGCAAATTTTGTTTTACACTAAAACTATTTACTGGTCTTGACTGGTCATCAATTTTCCAAATTAGTTCTTTGCCAAAAAAAGGCTAAAAGCCAATGTATTTGGGTACATCAATGGGAATACAATACTTGTCACATACTCTAATTAGGTAGATAATGAAGAGAAAGCTTGTTAATGCAAGAAAATACTTTAAATGCGTTTAACTTTAAAAAACAATGTTTACAACAGAATATTCATTTGGTAATTACTTTTTCTCTAACTAATCTTCTGGAAACATTTTGTGCATTTCATGTAGTATGAGTCTTTAAAAAATGTTGATGAGGGATAACACTTTTTTGTTTATATAATACACTTTGCTTCAGTACCTGCAATGTGTATTAGTTACAATGAAACTGATTTTTTAACAGTAAGGTCACTCTGTATAGTGATATTTGTAGTCTGTAGTTACAGCAGCTCGAAATGGTGCTTACACTGTAAACAACTCTGATTCTTAATTAAAAATTTGCTTCTGTGTTAGGTAATGTACATTTGAATTTTTTGTATAGATATGATAAGTAAACAAAAACTTTAATTCTTTGATTTTTAGATAGTGATTGATAATGTTGAAATATATATTGAAGTTATCTCATTTAATAATGTTGTCACTATACCTCGAAGTGACATCACAGCTTCTCGCACAATGACAAGAGTCATTATTGAAACGAATAATGAAATAACGTGGAAATGTCACCCTCTTAGAAAATACTTCCAACTGTATGTAACATTATTTTACATTCTTCGATTGTGGATATAAATTTCCAGTATGCTTACAGATTAATTATCATAGTGCAATGTGTTCGTACTTATTAACCGCCATCTTTGAGCAATACATTGTCGCTTAGCAATAGGGTTCGATTTACATAGAACTCAATGAAATAATATTTAGAAATGATCGTTGTACTTCGGTCTAAACGAGGTGTTTAACTTACACATGATCTTTTCCCAGATTTCTATCGTGAAGATTATAGAGCATTTAAGAAAATATGCGAAGTTTAACGAGTCACGAAATATTTCATTTTCTACAGAAAGTAAGCACGATAAAAATGTTGTCAGAAACTTGTTCTCCATTTGATTTTTATTAACTTTGATGCCTCGCCTAATTTATCTATCTCGTGAATTGCCTTGCTCAACTCGTCTCTACAATGATGGATTTTACACTGAACTTACTGATATCTACTACACATCCGCTACTAACTATTTTGGGTATCGCTAATTAAATCGTCTGTCAGTTTTATAACTCATCCACACTCCTAAAATGCAGAGAAGAATTCTTTTTTCTCTTCTATAACGGGCCACAAACCACGAACCCTCGGATTCACAGCCTCTTGTTACACCATCGTCCTACAGAAACCTTGGTAACAACATACGCCTGTAGTAACAGTATTCACCTATAGAACCTTAGTAACACCATCCACCTATATAAACACCATCTTTAGTAACGCAATCTACCTGTAAAACCTAAGTATCACTGTCTGCCTAAAGAACTTTAGTAATGTTGTCCAACTATAGAACCTTAATAACAGCATCCACCTATAGTAACAGGCCCTCTGGTATTAATGTATGATATCACTCCCTCTTAAGATAGCCGAGACATGTGGTTCCACTTCGTGACCCTAAGATAGTAACAGTCTCTGATGCCACTTCTTGGCACTAGGGATACGCCCTCTGGAAGTCAAACAACTTACCTCTAGCAACTCATTCTCTGGTGAATAGCACTCACACTACGTGTTTTTAATAGTTATGCAACTTTCAGGCGTTGGCATATTACGTAACAGTTGATAACCCCAGGCGGCGGCATCTTACGTAATAGTGATGTATCCCTATGGCGGCATCCTTTGATCTCGTCATATTTTTAACAGTAAACAAGCCCTCTAACTACTAATGCAGGTAACTCAAATAAGTAAAGGCGCTGAATACTATACTAAATGTTATCAATACTATTTGTTTTGTACGACGGTAATATTATTTCATTTTATCTTTTATAATATTAATAATTATTTCCTCCACACCCTGTACATGGAACAAGATATTTCATTATTTAAATGTATCTCCGATTTGACACACCCAATATAAAACACGAATGAACTCGATTTCATCAATTTTTTCCCCGAAGTGTTTTATGTATCATTATTTCAGTGTTTTCACTTATATGTTTGGTTGATTAATGTAGATCTGTCTTCCTTAGTACATCAACTTGTTTCTGTTGTATTACGAACACAAGAAATCTGTAATATATTATGAACATTTCAATGTCTGTGTGTGTATGGAGATGGGGGAGAAATAACATCTTAGAAAATTCTCATCAAAATCTGTTTGAAACGCTTGTAATTTGCTATATGATTTTTAATAGAATATAAAGTATGCCAATAAACATAAATAGATGCTTTTTTGGTTGTCACATATTTCTCTCTCTCTCCCAACTGTATTAAAAGAAATTGCAAGTGGTTTTCAGCTCTTTATGTGTTCTTTAAAGCTGTGCATCTCTGACCAGATTATAGTTATATTTTAATATTCGAACTTAACGAACTGTGTACACATTAGTTGATTTTTGTTTTTTGGAATTTCGCGCAAAGCTACACGAGGGCTATCTGCGCTAGCCGTCTCTAATTTAGCAGTGTAAGACTAGAGGGAAGGCAGCTAGTCATCACCACCCACCGCCAACTCTTGGGCTACTCTTTTACCAACGAACAGTGGGATTGACCGTCACATTATAACACCCCCACGGCTGAAAGGGCGAGCATGTTTGGTGTGACGGGGATTCGAACCCGCGACCCGCAGATTGCGAGTCGAGTGTCCTAACCACCTGGCCATTCCGGGCCATACACATCAGTAATTAAATGTTTCTGTCAACTGCCAATGTAAATTTAAGACATTTATTCGAAGGTTTGTTAAGTCTATTTTTTTATTTTTTGGCAAAGCGACCTGTCGCCGTCCAAAATTTTGAACTGCAGGCCAGAGGAAAGTCATCCAGCAGGCAGCACCCACCGCCAACTCTTAAGTTACTCTTTATCCACGAATAGTGAGATTGACCTACAAATAAAAACGCTCCTATTGCTGACGCCGGGTTTGGTTAAGTATGTATATATGTAGAAAATCGAATGTTTTCCTATATCGGAATTAAATTATTATCTCTTATATTTTGGGTAAAATGATTAAATATTAAGTTTGATTATGATATGAACTTTATAACTGAACTAACAGCAAAAGACTCCGTGATATAAATATTAATTCAGAAAAAAAAAAGATAAGAACGCCAAGTCACGGATACATTTTTATAGTAATATCAGTTACAAATTAAGTTTGTACAACAAGGATGTTTGGACGGTGTCGCCAAATAACTAAAAGAAGTGCTAAATGTTATCGAACACGCAATGTTATTAGATGGGAACAGCTGTAGGCGATAGTACTTAGTGGGTTTTATTAACATTTCCAGCGTCTTCTCGTTTATTTCGTGGAATAAAATGAAATAATAAGAACGAAAGGTCCATAGCAAACTAATAAAAAAAAATTTCTCAGGTCATGCGCCAACGTCATAGATACTACTGACCAATCGCAGTTTTGTCCACAAACAGACAAATCAATCGAATGCGCTAACGATATGTTATATAAACACAGGGATTGCTAGAGTGGAGTACTCAAGCTCTTGAAAACTTCATACAGACCAGAATCCAGAAGGACATAGCTTCAGATAATTTCGCACACTGTTTTAATAGCCTAAGTGTACCTCCTATCTAAGAAAAATAAGTTCATCTTTCTAACTGTAATTTTTCTCATTAACCGGACTATGGGTTTGACTCCGACAAGCGTAATATTCCTATTAATGATCTTGGTTATCAAGGTAAGACGCTTTTATCATACATCACTTCTATCAGCTGTGAATCAACATTGTAGTCACAACTTAAAATGAGATATTATATCTTAAAGTTATAACTATTTAAATCGAAGGAGAGGGGATGTAAGTCAACAATTTTTCTATATGCTTGTTTTTGTTTGTGTTCTGGCTACCACGGGAATCGAACCCCGGATTTAAGGGTTGTAAGTTCGTAAACTTACTGATGACCCTCTGAGGGGAATACATATGCTTGTTAGTATCGTCCAATCTTCAGCTTTTCTTTGAGCTCACGTTGGCTTTATATCATTGTATTTCCTGCTGTAAGGTAGAAACATTTTCATTAATTCAAGTTATCACTTAAAGGTCTCCCACATTATTTACACACACATATATTTATAGTTGAATAAAGCAACAATATTATGTCTTTTGAAGGTCACATTTATTAATGCATATTGTTGTTGATATTGTGGCTAAAGCAAATATGAAATTAGCCACGCCTCTTTTTGCATCTGTATAAGAGTTCAAAACTATGACAATTTACTACAAAAAATGGAATAACATAACATAATGCTTAGGGACAAAAGGGACTTGTTGGTCCATCTTGGCTGTCTCATCCTTTAAACGAAACTAAAACTATTAATTAAATATATTAAAAATATATATATATATTTAAGCCAGCCCTTATCATTCATAAAGTTATCAAGTTTTCTCTTAAACTCACTTAAATTTACTGCCTCCAAAACAAATGAAAGCAACTCATTCTAAAGGTCAACCACCCTGTTAGAAAAATATAACTGCCTTAACTGAAGATGGCTTCTTCCTTGCCCAAATTTATATTTGTATCCTCTAGTTTTATTATTCTCGCTATTAACTACGAAAAAAGGTGATACATTAACACTATCAATTCCCTTTACAATCATAAATACCTCAATCAGATTCCCCCTAACTCTTCTTTTTTCAAGAGAAAACAATTTGAGAGATTTCAACCTCTTCTCGTATGACAACTTCTCCATCACAGGCACCTTTCTAGTAACCCTCTTCTGAACCTTTTCCAATAAATCATTGTCCATCTTAAGGTAAGGAGACCACGACTGAACACAATAATCCAATATGTGGCTAACCACTGACCTATACAATGGAATTACAACCTATGTATACTTCTATTCAGTATTTCTCAAGATACAACCTAAAATCTTATTTGCCCTACCACTAGCAACAGCACACTACTTTGATGGCTTTAGAGACTGATCAACACTAAACCAAGATCATTTTCTTTCAGGAAACTAAGGTCATTCCCATCCAAATTATTCTTATAATTCAAATTATGGTAATCAATCTGCATTATCCTGTATTTATTATAATTTAAACCCATCTGTCATTTATTTGCCTAACTCGTGATCTAAATCCTTTTGTAGAGCAGCAGCATCCTCTTTACAACTAGCAACACCCAAGACCTTAATGTCATCAACAAATTTAAGTAACTTATTGACCATTCCTTCATTTATGTCATTAATGTAAATCAAAAAGAGCAAATGTCCTAAGACTGAGCCTTGAGGTAACCCACTTGTGACATTAGTTCAGTTTGATTGAATTCCATTTATAACAACCCTCTGTTTTCTTTCATCCAGCCACTCTTCTATCCATTTAACTAACTTATCACCCACACCTACAGAGATAATTTTTACCAGCCTTTCATGTGACACCTTGTCAAATGCTTTTTGAAAATCCAGATATACCAAATCTACATCCTTACTCTCATCTACATAAACAGTAACCTTTTCGAAAAATGTAAGGCAAGATTTTCCCTTAGTAAAATCATGTTGACTATCCAGTAAAATTCTACGCTTTGTTAAATGACTATTCAAACATTTTCCCACAGTTCCCTATAATTACTGGGACAATTATTATTACCTCCCTTGAAAAGAAGAATTATATTAGCTAACTTCCAATCCTTTGGCACCTGTCTACAATTCAAGAACTTACAAAAAATAGTAGTAAGTGACTCACATATCCAATCCTTAACCTCCTTCAAACCCTTTGGTAAATATTATCTTACCAAGAAGACTTATCGTTTTTTAAACTTCCCAATATTTTTATAACAAGCTCAGAATTAATGCAATCATTTTATTCGATCCTGTTTCCAACTATCAATTGTTTAAGATTAGAAATATTGCTTAAATCTTCATTAGTAAAAACTGAAGAAAATGTAGAATTTAATAACCCAGCCATCTCATAATCATCAGATAAGAGCCTTCCTTTCACATACCTCAAAGGTCATACCCACATTGTAACATTTTGTTTAACCTTAGTGTATTTAAAGAAATCCTTACTATTAATCTTTAAATTTTAAGCCAACCTTTTTTCATACATCCTTTTTGGTGTCCTAATTTGCTATTTGACCAACTTTCTCGATCTTCTATAATCTTTTAAGTCTTCCATCATACCATTTAATTTAAATTTCTTATTTTTGCAAAGCTTTTCTTTAATAGTATTCCTTATACCCTATATGGGTCGACCTAGTTATTTACCATTATCTTTCTCCAAGGAATATGTTTATCTCGATTATTTAAAATATTACCGTTCAAAATGCCCACATTTGATCAGTGTCTCCAAATAACACAGCTGTCCAATTCACATCATATAATTGTTGTCACATCCCTTCAAAATTTGCTTTTTTTAAAATTTCTAACCAAAATATCATTATTCCTGATATTCATATACAGCAAAACACCGAACCTAATAGGACAATGATCACTTGCACCAAAATGTTCCCTAGTTCCACCCTCTCAACAATTTCTGTATCAGAAGTTAGCAATAAATCTAAAATAGCATTGTTTCTAGTAGGTTCCTTGATGAATTGATGAAGAAAACCACATTGAACAGTGTCTCCGAAAACCTTTCTCTCTCATGGTTTGATTCTAGCATTTCCAAATCGATATGCCTAAAATCAAAATCACCCACAGTTATGACCTAATTAACAGCTAAGATCTTAATCTCGCTGTAAAGTTTCTCACTAATTTTATCAGTATCATCTGGTGGTCTGTAACAAATTTCCAAATAGATTCAATCTCCTTGCTATTATGTTTTATATATTCAACTTTTACAGGATGTACCTCGCAATTTACATATAAAACACTCCTCTCCCTCTCATTAGTCTCTAACCATATTAAGCAATCTATAATCCTGTATTTCAAAGACATTTCTGTCATCAAAATCATCTACGTGTAACCATGTTTTAGCTATACCCATTAAATTAAAATCCTCCATTCCTACTAGTGCTCTAAGGTCATCTACTTTATTTCTTATACTTCTAGCATTACAATAGTAACAATTAAGCCTAACCTTGGAACTACTTCTGCACTCATTTCCCGTACTAAACTTTTCACTACATCTTATTTTTTGCATTTAGTTTATCTTGGCCCTCACCACTGTCTAGTCCTAGTCTAAAACTTCCCTTACACTTGAGTTAATAGTCCTTGCAAACGAGCCAGACCCTAAAATATTTAAATGTAAACCATCCTTTCTAAAAAGCTAGGATTCCTCTACTGATCTCAGAAGTCTAACCAGCCAATCTGCTCATCATTATATACTAACATAAATCTAGCATTTAGTCTTAGTTACCTACTTACTACTCCATCCCAACAATTACTTCTTGCAGTATCCCTAACACAATTAAGTTATGACCTTTTTCTTAAAACCCCTTGTACTTATTGATTAACTCCTCTGACCTACTTCTCCCTACATCATTAGCCCCTGCATGCACAACAAATATTGCATCATTGCAAGGGTTATTATATCCCTTTCTCTGTCAGTTATAACCTCCACCTGTGCCCATGGGTAGCATAATATAATTTTTTCTCCCTATATACCCCACAGACTATCCTATCCACATTCTTCTCTGACCCATTTGTTTTTCTTCCCTCTACTAGTTCCTCATCTACACAAGTCAAGAGCTGGGATCTGTTGCTCAATAGAATAGGCTCACTACAATTAAATTCACTACTTTTAGCTCTAATAGTAATCTTTCTAGCTTCCTGAAAGTCATTGTCAGTTGATGTATTCTTTCCATGTAAAAGCTTAAACTCCTCTTGAAATCCTGCTGCCATTTCCCACAATTTACACTTCTCTTTATCTATTGCTTCTACTTTAATTAGGATAACCCTATAACCTACAAACTCTACTAACAAATTGAGCATATTCACTATTAGCTTTCTTAAAAGTACATAACAGTCCCGAGTTCCCAAATAGAATTCACTCATTGCACCCATCACACCACCTAACAAACTGTGAATACTTAACTCCTAAACTAGTCTTAACCATTGTATTTATACTATTGTAGCTTGGGAATAAATACTCAATACCAGTAGCCTTTTGCCAACATTGTTAAGCCTACTACTTGTGAATCAGATATATTTGGTCTACATGTATTATCACAACTGCTATACCATCTGTAATTAAAAGACCTTTTTGGACTACACTAACCATATCAGCACAAAATCCAGTTCCAGAATTAAACTGACCAATTCAATATCGCCGGATTGAGAAACCACCAGACAATGATGGAAAGGTACAATAAAAGGTATACAATGCTCAGTTCAAAATAATTTCAAAAGTGAGCAGATGGAAAGTGAATAACAGGCTATTCATCTTGCTACCCGCTTAAAAGGGCCAGTTTAAACGACATTAACAAACTATCCAGCTGAAAGCCGTAACAACTATCAAGCATTGCTGATAGCTGCTTGATCCAACACGTGTGGAGTAACACAAAGAACACAGTAAAGAGGAAAGTAAGGACCTTAGCCAAACTTCTAGAAAATTTGGAAAGGATTGCCCATATATCTTACACAGCTGCTGCTCGTGAAATGTTGGATTCGTTGGTACGTGACCAAATGTATAAATGCCATAAGATATAGGAGTATGAGAGGTTGAAGCAAAATAGGCGCACATCTTTAAAAGAAAACTTTCAAGTTGCTGTAATATACTAAAAGCACCGTCTAGAAGCTATG